CTGTTTGACAGTTTTACAGTTAGAGTTTGACTCCATGGAAACCATAAATCACTGTTTTATTCACTTTTTTGTTGTTCTATAATAATAATAATATTTATGCTTTTAAGCAAACATATTAATATTTGCTTGCAATTTGTTTATTATTTTTTATAAATGATTCACACCCTTACAAAATCACCCCAATCAATCTAAGTTAATCATTTCTTCCCAAATTAAGCTATTTAAGATATCTGCTGAAATTGTATTCATGTTGCAATATATATTGCAGAAAAACTAAATTTTGCAATGTCGTTTTTTTCCAATATTGTGCAGCCCTGCATAGGATGATAAAAACCCTGCTATTTTTGCATTACTACTACACTTACCAGACACTTTATTAGGTACACCTTACTAGTACCGGGTTGGACCCCCTTTTTCCTTCAGAACTGCCTTAATCCTTCATGGCATATAGATTCAACAAGGTACTGGAAATATTCCCTAGAGATTTTGGCCCATATTGACATGATAGCATCACGTAGTTGCTGCAGATTTGTCGGCTGCACATTCATGATGTGAATCTCCCATTCCACCACATCCCAAAGGTGCTCTATTGGATTGAGTTCTGGTGACTGTGGACGCCATTTGAGAACAGTGAACTCATTGTCATGTTCAAGCAACCAGTCTGAGAGGATTAGCACTTTATGACATGCACGTTATCCTGCTGAAGTAGCCATCAGAGAACTGTGGTCATAAAGGGATGGACATGATCAGCAACAATACTCAGATAGGCTGTGGCATTGACACAATGCTCAGTTGGAACTATGGGCGCAAAGTGTGCCAAGAAAATATCATTACACCACCACCACCAACCTGAACTGTTGAAACAGGCAGGGTAGATCCATGCTTTCATGTAGCTGACGTCAAATTCTGACCCTACCATACGAATGTCACAGCAGAAATCAAGACTCATCAGGCAATGTTTTTCCAATCTTCTGTTGTTAAATTTTGGTGAGCCTGAGCAAATTGTAGCCTCAGTTTCCTGTTCTTAGCTGACAGGAGTGACCCCCAGTGTGGTCTTCTGCTGCTGAAGCCAATCCGCCTCAAGGTTAAAATGCATTTGCTGATAAGAAATTTGTTACCAAACAGTTGGACCGGTGTACCTAATAAAGTGGCCCATAAGTGTATAATGTTCTACTAGAGATAAAAGTCGTCACCTTCTTGGATAGGTTGAGGGTGATTGAATTTACAGCAAATTTTTATTTTCGTGTGAACTAATTATTTTTAAGCCTTCACACACTTTTATGCCCCTTCCTTGGAGCCTGACAGCATTGTGACGTTCATGCTTTTGCATTTTTCATTCAGGTTTCCTTATTTAAAGAGTTTGATGCATTGGCTGCTTCCTGGACGAGACAAAAGAATCCCTCTTTGCTTTGTTTTCTAAAGCGACAACACCATAAATCTCTCCGTAATGAGAAGGTAAGGCATAAGCACAGGCACAAAAGGTAGTAAGACCCAATTCTGGATGATTTCATTTTCATCATTGTGTGTTCCAGCAAGTGGCCATTTGTGTGGGTTGGATCTCCTTTGCACCAACCCACAGACAGCCTCACTATTGTGTGGGTGTGTATGAGCACACGCAATTTGGGTGACATTTGCAAAGTTCTCCAAAACCACACAAACTTACCCGTAAAAATAATGGGCATCAACAAAATGTCAAATGTCAAACTCAAGGGTGGCTTTCTGGATTGATCTCAATGCCTCTCTGCAGTGTGGCATTTTCATATGGCTGCATATTAAAAAAATACATTTAGTGAACTGTAATCAGAAACTGCTGGTGAAATTCAGAGTCTCAGCTAGTTCGTCTGCTGACAAGTGTAATGTTACATAGAAGTGAGAGGAAAACGTTTGAACAAACAATAAAATGATTTGCTGCATTTAGTACCCTTCAGAGCATAAATAATATGTTATCTGCTGAGTGAACACATTATGATAAATAGCTCAGGCTGTGTGCCATCACACTGAGAACAGCAAAAGACTAGCAGCGGATCATCTGACATGTACAACATTGTGTTAAAAATGACCCAAAACAGAACCAATGTGATACCATGGTGTTTTGAATATATCAGGTAACAAAACAGCAGCACTTTGACATGTTCCAAGTACTTAAATGGGTTTCAAAAGTACTTAAGGGAAATATAAGAGTATTACCATTGTACGTGACCAAATGCAACATTTCAGCCAAACAAAAAGCAAAGTGTAAATATATTCTTCTCTTATGTCACAGATATTGCAGGTACAGGTTTACCAACAGACAAACAGAAAGACAGATTGAGTGACAGACAAACAAACAGACAGACAGACAGACAAACAGACAGACAGACAGACAGACAGACAAACAGACAGACAGACAATGAAACCACACTTGTATTACAATAAACCAGAAAATATGGTTATTTTATATAAATCATGGTAACCACAAATTCACCATGGTTTTACTACATTATCTATAGTTGAAACGTTTTGCAGTAAATTTGTGGTTAAACAAATCAATGCCACAACAAACATGATTAGCCTACTACACTTTAACAATAATAAACCATGGTTAATTTGAGTAGATAGATAGATAGATAGATAGATAGATAGATAGATAGATAGATAGATAGATAGATAGATAGATAGATAGATAGATAGATAGATAGATAGATAGATAGATAGATAGATAGATAGATAGATAGATAGATAGATGCTACAAAAGTATACGACTATGTAAATTGCATAACTAAATAATATTTTATATAAACAGAGCTTCAGGCTATTGATGTAAACACTGTTTAAACGATGGTGAACATAGATAGGCTACTGCAGTGAACTCACCACCCGAGAGGCTTGTGTTTTCTCGGAGAAGATCCCGGAATCTGGACCCGTCCGGTTCACCTGTAGTATATAACTGACTAAACTAGCAATAAAACTCCACAAACTGAATGGTCGGACGTCCGTTGACTCAGAGCGGCAGGTCATATCCATCTTCAGGCTCGGAACATTCTGTCTTTAAGTATTTTTGTTGACAAAACGGATACTTTGTGTGGGTTTTCCACCTTAGTGTAATCGTTGAGTCTTGTCAGATGTAGAAATGAAGGCTGTCCTCCTGAAACGACTCTGCGTGGCGCGAGACCTGCATACACTTGCACCGCGCGCGCGCACCGGAGACGTGACTGTACTGAACGGAGAGCTGAGTGTCGCGCGGATAAAACTACGCGCTTTCACTGCTACTGCGCGGTGGACCAGGGACTGTATAGTTATTGAAATGTTTCTATTAACATAAGAGAAACAATCACCTCACCTTGATAAAACGTAATCCACAATTACAAAATACATCCGCTTTAATTTATGGATTGGTTTAACAAAATAGGAATTCTGAGTTTGATTCGATGTAATTCTTTATGACTATAATAGCTATATTAAATGTCAAAACTATTTATTCAAACTGATATTAAAGGGACAGTTCACTCAAACAAATCATTCTTTCATCATTTGCTCATCCTTGTGCAAAACCTATTTGAGTTTCTTCCTTCTGTTGAAAACAGATGTTTTGAAGAATGCTGGATGCTGGCTTTCATAGTCATTTTTCGTCCTACTATTGAAGTCAAATGGGTGCCAGAAATGAACATTCTTCAAACTATCTTTGTAATCAAGAAAAGAAACCTAACCAGCTTTAAACCACAGCAAGGAGAATAAATTATGAGGTAGTATTCATTTTTTGGGGTGAACTATCTATTTAAAATTGTTTATGCCTAAATGCCAAAGGTTATTGGTACTTTGAGGCAGAACAAAAAATAACACGTGGCACCTTATGATGTACCGAGTTCTTATCAAGTAAATCAAATGATGAATAGGTATTCTGAATTTGCCAACAAGAGTTATTAGATGAGAAGAAAAAGTCTTATGAGGAAAGAAACAATTGTTTAATGATGATAAAATGCTGACGCAACATCTTATTATTAGTCCGTTTTGATCCTCATTTACATTGAATAGGCCAGTTGTTGGTCATAAGAAATTGCATCAAACTATTGCAAATGCAATAATTAAACCAAACATATTAAAGACAAGACATATTTACTAAAATAAAAGTAAATTATATATGGTTTAATTTGATTAATTTTAAATGCTTTATTTTGTCAGTGCCCAAACACATATTTGATACATCATTATATGGCTATATTTATTTATGAAGCCTCTGGAATTTCACTCAGCAATTTCTAAACATTACTGTTCCTATGATCATAACATTAATCCTCATGATATTAATCCTTTAGCATGCCAAATTCATCCATCAAATGTGTGAGAACTTGATTAGTTGAAGACACTGCATTTACTAAAAATATGAATTTATCATCAGAAAACACTAGATGAGGAGTCATATAATAGGCCTAGATTTCTGGCATTGCCATAAATATTCAGAACTTCAGATCAAATGTTTCCACCTAGTGGCAAAATAGGCTATACACATACAAATGTTTTCTTTTTCACTATCAAACATACATATTCAAGATCTTCTTAAAGAATCAACCCTAATTTTATAAAATCATAAGTCTATAAATAACACACTTCACTTCAGTTAATGAAAAAAAGAAATGCATACAAAGAGTTGCCAGTTGCTCATTAAACCATCCAGGCTTGTGCAAAATCCATCTTGGACAAACTGAAAGGAATGAATCTGGCACGTCTGTACAGTGCTGCATATTCATGTCTCACAGCACATCTTTCTTACTTAAAAAACTCAATCTTTCAGGATTAAAAAGTTTATTTACACTTATGTCCAAATATAAAGTCAGAAGCAGCAGCAGCAGCAAGACGAATAAATTAACATCAAACTCTAGTTTTGCACATCAAAGTGACCTAATTAGAACTAACTTGTGTGTGTGTGTGCGTGTGTGTGTGGATGTGTATGTGTATGTGTGTATATATATATATATATATATATATAAATAAATGTGTGAAAAAACAACAGCCACAAAGAAATATTTGAAGCAGTGCATAAAAACGGTCATTTATTTCTCAAAATTTTTCACAGGATATGAATATTTTAGCATGGTGTGGTCATTTACATACATATAATAACTGGTATACACAGAAGAAAACTTGAAATGGCCAAACAGGAGCTCCAACGGTCATTTTGTCAGCTTCTGATTGGCCAGCTGGGCTGATGAGTGTAGTCCATGCGTCCCAGAAGGACAGTGGGAGGATCAGCTGGTTCTCATACCGTTCCTGCTGAGATGCTGACTGCGTTCTGGATTATTTGTTACCACGGTGGTGACATGGGCTGTGGGTTCTGCAAATAAGACATCACGACCGCCGAAATGGACAGCCTGGAGAAACAAACGTATGTTGAATTTGGCATAATAGTCCAAACGCATTACATTTAAGAATATCTTCGGGTAAATAAAATTACATTTTGACAAAAACACCGTTTCAGATTACAGAGTAATTATTCAAAACGAATATTAAAGGGACAGTTTATTCTAAATGTAAAGGGATAGTTTACCGAAAAATTATTATTTTATTTACTCACCCTTCACTTTTTCTAAACCTATTTCAGTTTCTGTCTTCTGTTGAAAACAAAAGGGAGATATTTTGAAGAGTGTTCACTTTTAGCACCTATTAGACTTTCATTGTAGAAAGAAAAATTACTATGGAAGTCAAATGGGTGCCAGAAGCGAACATTCTTCAAAATATCTTCTTTGAATAAACCCATATAGCTTTAAATCACACCTGGGTGAATAAATGGTGAGATCATTTTAATTTTCTTGGTGAACTATCTTTTTAAAAAAATGCTTAAATGCCAAAGGTTATTGGTTTTTTGAGAGTCCAAAAACAAAGGCAGAAAAAATAAAAATAAATGTGGCACCTGGTGATACACTGAGATCTTAAAAGTAAAACAAATGAAAGAAACTGATTATTTACAAAATAATTATAATTACATAATTAATAATAAATCTAGCATAGACTGATCATCATGCGACCTCAATGTATCAAAACCACAAAAAGTATTATATTTCTTTATTTGACATTTTTTGACTCTCAAAGCCCTGGGGTCTGTTCTTCGTACCTTGCTTAAATGTTCTAAGTTTATTTGACATATCCTGGATCTTTTAATCTTGATACCTGATCTCTAATTTTCGTCTAATTTTGTTCTTTAAACAAGTTCGCATATCAGATTAAAATGTCTGGATGAACTGATCTGAGATAGCTGCACATGTTGTGAAGGACAGATCTATTGATTCTCGAAATCATGATCCGCAATACAACCATAGGCTGACAGTAGCGCAATCATTTGATTAATATTTAATTATCCATGTGAGCAAAATTACATGAAATTCATAGTAAATGGTTAGTTAAATATGATACGCAATAACTTTACTCTTTTGTTGTGGGCTGCAGGCTTTACTCTTTCATGTGTCAAGACCATTTAGCAATTTATTTAGTTTTACATTTAGAGCAGATTTTCTTTATTGTAGTAACCTAGGCCTATTAAAATCTCTTAATCGGCGTAAGGAATAACTGGCTGTTTAAATTTATATTGCATTAAAAAGTATTTTGATATTGGTAAAGGTGTCTGGAAATTTTGCGAAGCATCAAATCACCATCATATCAGCTGTAAAAACGTGCATGACTGCATAAATTATTATTCCTTTAAAAAAAAAAAAAAAAAACCTGCAGAATATTGTGCGTCTATTATCATACACAAATTGTACTAAAGCTGGTACTTAAAAATAGTATGTCAATCTAAATAGTCCCTATTAATAAATTCTCTTTGAACCCCTTGGGGAAAACCAACCCATAACAGTATTTGTACTTTTATTTCAGAGTTCAGAGTGCACAAGTTTTATGTGTATATTTTTAAACCATATATATATATATATATATATATATATATATATATATATATATATATATATATATATATATATATATATATATATATATATATATATATATATATATATATATATATATATACACACATACACATAAATATGTATATATAATATTTTAAACTATTTACTATTTTCCCAAGTGTATATAACTACTAATGTAAAAAAATATTAGCATTCGTTTCGTATTTTCAGTATCTCCTTTGGTTGAAATGACCCGATCTAAACCTGTTTATATGAATTAAAGCTGCTCCCTAGCAGGTTTGAGCTACCAGAACTGGATGAATTTTGAAGAACGAAATGATCCTGGATCATGTCAAATCGTCAATAACCAAATCAAGCAAACTAATAATCCACGTGCGAAGAACGGACCCCAGGTTGCGGTTGACTTGATACTATAAATTTCAAACAATCACATTTTCAGCTAAAAATCTTCTGTAATATTCTACTGAAGACAAAAAGAAACCTATATCTTAAATGGCCTCTGGGTAACTAATAAGAAATTGTCATATATGGGTGAACTACCCCTTAAATTAAAGCAAACAAACTTACATGAAGCTGCTCATCATCTGTTTAGTGTCTTCAGAGCTTCGTGAATTGGCAAAACTGATGAATGAGCAATAAACTGCAATCCACGCACACCATTTAAGCTGCAAAACACAAATTCAACACAATTTAAATAGCTAGAGACCAATCTACTCATGTTTTAGTCATAAACAACAAGAAACGCATGAAGTAAAAAGCAGTATTGACAGTAAAAACAGTAGATGTGGTCACCTTGAGCATCAGACCACACATACTGAAGATCATGCCGAGCAGGTTCATGTAATCTGGTGTAGGATCTTCCAGTGTGGGGTTTGATTCGGTGTTGGGAGGCTTGTAGCTGTAAAGTGAACACAATGCATTTTAATTAGACTGTCATTTGATGTATCAAATTTATACTAATAAAAAATACAGATTTTACAAGAGTTAATCAAAGAAAACAATACAAATATACTTAGGTTGAACAAGGTTAAATAAAAAAATAAGAAAGACATATGTCCAAGAGTGATCATCCATGGGTTTACTTCAAATAAAAGTTTTTTTTTTTTTTCTGTAGTTAAACCTGGTGGTAATGGTAATCACAAATGAACCATTGCCTTGCAACCGTCAACAATAGTAACCATATTTGTAGTAAATTTTAAAATTAAAATGTGATTAAACCATCAACAATAAAAAAACTGTCAAATATATCCAATTTATATTTAACATATGATCCTAAACTGAATATTGCCGTATATACTATAACGTTACTTAAAACAGAAAAGCTGGTTTAATCTCGTCTAATCATTAGCTCTGTTGCTAACAGTGATGCTAACGACAGTCAATAAAAACGCTCATCGCAATCACTCAAGCGGTGTGAAAAACTGATAAAATACTCACCGAAAAATCTTATTCTGTCGTCTTGGATCTGCCATGTTGTTCACGGTCATATTTTTTTAAAACTTATCAATTTTAAAACTAATTTGAGAGGCTTAGGAGCAGCACGTCAGCCAACAGCTGACATGTAAAACTCTACTACGCTCAATTCCGCTGCGTTCAAAGATGTGTGGATTCTTAGCGTCCCCTGTCGATGAGGAGTCTTTGAGTATAAACGACGACTGTGTATTAATAATGTCATGTATTTTATAGTGTTTATTAAGTAATATCACATTTTGTCGTCTTAAATTTCTTCAAGACCGGAATTTTGTATCGTTAGTTTTAAAAAATGTTCATCACTTTAGTTTGAATCCAAAAGGTAAGACTGAATAGGGCTATACTATTAACGGCTAGCTGATCAGACTTTTTTGTTTTTCCTACTTTGGTTACAGGTTTTCGGCTTTCTTCAAAATATCTTCATTTAGGTTTAACAGAAGAATGAAACTCATAATGGTTTAAAAACCCTCGAGGGTGGGGAAATAATGAGTAAGCTTTCATTTTTTTTCAAGGGTTAACTCTGCCTTTGGTCAAATATTAACATGGTGGTTGTGTTTTTGCAACTGGCCAAATATAGTTAAACTATTAAGTGCTACAAATGCAGTCTAACAAAGCCATTTAGAATTATACATTCAAGATGTGTTAAATTCTACATTCTGCATTTCATATGATTCAAAATTAATTGTAAGAATGAATTAATCATGCACAAAAATTTATGTTAAGTGCAAGAAGTATTGACACTCTGTAGCTTCATTGTATAATTATAGGTATGTGGAAAATTGTAAAAATTGTAATAGTGCAATAAAATAATCATATTTATTAATATTAAAATAATAATTGAAAAGTGTAACAAAATAATATCTAGCTCATATTATTAAAATTAATACTGTTTATAGAAACCGAGTAGTACCAGTAAAATAATTAAATACAAATAAAAATGTAAATAATAAAAATAAAAATTAAAACAAATAAAATAATTAAAAAAACACCAAATTATTTTTAAAAATCACTTAAGAATTAAAGTGTATTGTATGTGCACTGCATTTGAAATTTAACTTTGTCATAGTAAGAGTAAATGCATAATGCACCAAAATCACAACAATGATTGACAATTCAGTTCACCAATATAGCATGTCTTTGATTTGAAATCGGAGCACCTGGAGGAAACCCACACGAACAAGAGGAGAACATGCAAACTCCTCACAGACATGCCAACTGGCCCAGCCGGGACTCAAACCAGCAACCTTTTTGCTGTGAGGCGGCAGGGCTAACCACTGAGCCACCGTGCCGCCCCAAAAATTGTCACATGCTACAAGTAAATAATAATAAACACACTGTATCATTTTAGTTACTGCAGTAAAATTCTGAATTATCAAAAGTATATCATATTATCAAAAGTATGTACAGCATACATTATATTTCATGGTACAAAATTAATTTACATTTGAATGTTTTTCATGGCAAGGATCAATGCATAATGAAAAAAAAACACAAGAATCACACACCAACATTACATTTTATTCTTTTAAACCCACAGATGGGAAAATACATAAGCTTATGTTAATAGGCAACGCTTAGTTTAGTTTTAATGACATGTTAACTCTTGTGTTGTGAAATCCTCAAGAAACATCAGATTTTTTATCCCTTGGTCACCACAAATGTCTTGCAGTTGATGTCATTAATGCATATCTGATGATAAACTGTACGTAATCATTTTTCTAATAATAATTGCCTTTATGAGCCCTTCTCTTGTAAATCCGCTGGTCCTGAATTCATCTCATTGAGTTCAACATCTCTCTCTGCTTCTGTGGACAATGTGTGCCTGAAACAAACACACACACATTTCACATTACGTCATATCAATAATTAGCTGTATTAAGTCAAGGCAATTGGAGAAACCACAATTGTATAATTTTCTAAAATCTTTTGTTTAAATATACAAATGAGTCATTATTTAATTAAATTGTCTCAATTTTTCATACATTTATAGCACAACAACAACAACAACAACAATAATAATAATAATAATAAGGGTTGTCTCCGTTTTATTGCTTAATGATTTCAAAAATAGAGAAAACAGTTAGAAAATAATTTTTAAAAATATTTTAATTAATAATTTGTTGTATATAATCAGACAAAGTATGTATGAATGAACATCCCTCTGAAAAAAGCTTCAAAATACAGACACAAATTAAACTGTATACAATGCGCAGCATAAAAAAGTACATCCCATATTGAAAATGAATATTTTTACCCATTTCTCAGTGAATATATGTAATATATTTTGAACATTTGAATTCATTAAAATAAGAGTTTGGTCACCAAACAACTTTAGAAATAGAAAGATAATACATTTAAATTCAACCAAAAAATTGTAAACAAACAAATAAATAAATAAATGTATATAGTTTTTTATTTCTCTTGATTTTTCCACTATTTTAACATTTCATTTAATATTTTCCTCAACATATTACCTAGGGTTTACTACTTTTTGCACTGTGATCTTCAGTTTATTTTGTTGCAATAGCTCCAGATTTGGTTTCTGATTAATCTTTTATGCACAAATGTAATATTGCATATATAGCATGTTTATTTAAAAGGAGATTTGCGAAGGGTGTAATCACATATGCTGAGCACTTATATATGTAAGTGCGAATTAAGTCGATATTTATGCCTATGTCTATGAGATTTGTTTTAAACGTTTAAAAAATATGCATTGCAATTGAAATATGCAGGTAAAATTAATACAGTGCTATGAAAGAAATATTTAAAAAGAGTATATTTGATTTTTTCTTTATATTAGTCTAAAAAACACATTGTGAAAAGTCAAAAGCTCCAAATCTCAAAATTGACTAGTGGACAAAGAAACAGTGTTTTACATTTATTGTATCAGCTTATTTAATACTCGTGATCTGGTATTTTGTGTGACTTCAGCAGAAAGCTATTTTGTTATCTGATATGTTATGATACTGTACCTCCCCTCCTCAACATCCAGAATGTTCTCTGGAAGCTGGACATTGGTGGTCTCGGGCAGCAGGAAAACGACACATCCACTGAAAACTGCAGTGGCTGAAAACACTACCGGTGGACCATAGTGCCAAATATCCTCAAACAGGATGACCATCGGGGCCAGAGAACCTCCAATACGGGCTATAAAAGAGGTGTAGCCTAAGCCGCACTGCCTGTAAAAAGTCACAGAGAAGAAAAGAGGCATGCTTCAATCCAAAAACGAGAGTCAGATTTATGGATTAATGCACTCACAGAAATAAAGGTACAAGAGTTTACTTTTTTCTAAACATATTGATACCTAAAAACAGGGGTTCTCAAACTTGGAAGGCTGGTGTCCTGCAGATTTTAATTCCAACACACCTGCAAGGATGTTTCTAGTAAGCCTAGTAGAAGTTTGATTAGCTAGCCCAGGTGTGTCTGATTTCATTTGGAGCTACAGTAAAATCTGCAGGAAACCAGACCTCCAGGACCGAGATTAAGAAATCCCTGCCTTAAAGGTAAACGTCTCATGAAGTAATTTGAAATGTGTGATTTTTTTCCAATATGTGACATAATTTAAACTGAAACATTAAGACTGGGAGGCGGGGGTCCTTTAAAAAAGAACAAAACAAAAAAAATGTTTAATTTTTATCACAGCTCTGCCAGTGAGAGTGGTTTATCTCTAGCGCATCAAATAAATAGCAAATGAGAAGCATCTTGAAGGGGGCGGGACATATCAGATATTAGAAAGCATTTGATTGGTCAGAAGATTTGTTGGGAAACAAATGAAGTATGTCGTAACATCAAAAAATGGTGATCCATTTAGGCCATACCTGCCAACACTCCTTTGTCCCGGGAGTCTCACATATTTCAGACCCATCTCCCACCACCCTCCCGTTTTGTTTTTTCTCTCGGAAAACTCCTGTAATTTCAGCTTTTTGGTACAGTCTGTAACACCCCAGTCTCCAACTCTGGTAGGCCGATTGCATTATTTTTTTTAGATCCATTATTTCTTTACATCCAATCACAATGGCCGCCTGAAACTCAGTCCATAGTGCAATTGTTACTAACACCACAACACTAGTTACTAACCTGGTTCTGAGCTGTATTATTCAGACAATAATAACACCCCACCCTCTCCCGGAATTTCAGAGACAAATGTTGGCAGATATTTTGTAATGTATAAGTTTTAGATGTTTTGATCTTCTTAATGCTTTTTTTTAGGGAGAACACTACCTTATAGATATCCCTAAGACTAACATACTGATACTAACATCTAAAAACCTTTCATTTGATATCACAGGGACCAATGGTACCAATATGGACCAATTCGATTCAAATGTGTAGCTTTTAGAATGGCACCACCAGCTTTTGGAGCCTATTTTTAAGTGTATAGCTTATATATTTTATATGTTTTATAAATTACCGGAGTACAGTAGGGTAAAGCTCAGATGTGTACAGAAAGGCAATGGTAAACGCCGCCTCTGAGAAACCCTTCCCAATAACTGCAATTCCTGTACGAACAGCAGCAAACTCTGTGGATGAAAGAGCCACAACAAAAACAATGTGTTATTTTCTTTCTTAGACTATGAGGCTACTGAATGCTCCACTCAGATTGGCTGGCAAACATTCAATTTTCCAGTAAATGCACAGTTGAAGTAGTTCCAGACCACATTATACGTCCATATCACAAATTATTTTAGTTTGTCCTTACAGGCTACAACAGCAAAGGAACCAAAACCCACAAACCCACACCAACAAAGCAATAAAATAAATTAGATACTGTGATAAAAATGAGAACACAGTCCTTCACAAGAGAGACTGCTTGCTAACTGAAGTAATGTAAAATAATTGACCCTGTGCTTTGAATTTTATTGTCCAAGCTGACATTCAAATAAATGCTGCTGTTCTAACTGGTTTAATCCTATTTGAAGGACACTTCGCCATATCACTCCACGCCAAAACTTCAAAGGACTCTTCGAAATTAATGATTTCAAAGAGTACGAGTTATGGACACATTTGGTTCTAAACTTCTGGAAACCCCAATGCGTTTATAAAAACCATAAAATCTCAGCCCCTTAATCCAAAA